GAATTGTTTCTCTTTTACCACTGAATCCTTTGGAAATTCCAGTTTTGAAATTTCCTTAAATGCTGCTGCTCGCCATCTGGACTCAAAATATTATACCAGGCCAAAACCCAAAATACATGCTTTAATTATCAGCCAGATCTTAATAAATTGTTTATTTTCATAATGATTTAGAGGAAGAAGTAATGTTTACAATAGTAAATTGCAGACATGAAATCAGATTTGGAGAGGATGCAGAGACTAGGAAAGGAAGGAATTTAAAAGTTCAGAAAAGTGGTCAAGAATTAGTAAGGTGAGAGAAGGAGGTAAAAACACCAAGCGGAAGTTCAAAATGGGAGAATACTTGTTACAGAGGAGAAATATTGAGAAAGGCCTAGATGTGATCACAAGCAGCAAATTAGACAAGCACTTACAGTCTGAAGATATAGCAAATGCCATAATAGTATGTATAAATAAGCTGTGACATATAAGATAAAAATAGATAAAAGCCTTGGTTAGACCATGTTTCTGTGAAATAGTTTGTGCAGCGTTGTCTTATTTGTTACAGAAAAGACATGTAAAGAAAAACAAGAAAACTTTGCTGTTTTGGACCTGTAGTGATCTCACGGTGCAAATATTAGTGATTAGATGTCCAAATTTCACCTACAAAAACAAACGGACCAAGGCCTGAACAAAACCTGGTTTTTAAAATGTACAGACTAGAGAAATCAACAAAGTGACTATAACTGTGTTCTAAAGCCTGGGGCATTAAATATCCATCATGCTAAATTGAGAGAAACATAATATATTTTTTTTTGGTGGGGGTGGGGTGGGGGGGATTGTTGTATCACTAACATTTCTTTTTGTTGTCAAAATTACTTAAACACAACCTTACCATGGTGTGTGTGCATTTAGAACAAATGACCATTGAATAATTTGTCAAGAGCGATCATTAAAATATTACCATTAGTGTTCACAACTAGACTACTTAGGATATTGATGTAAAGAAGAGTCCTGCAGTAGCACAAGCTGGACTCAGGAAGTAATTTCCAACCTTACCAATGTGTCTCAAACCTTAGCGGTGGTCAGTGTAGTCACTATTCCAATGCTGCCTTATTCTGCAGACATTTTCTTTCCGTGATTATATGGTAGGATAGTAGAATTCACTATATTATGCTTTGGTTTTAGTTTTTTAATGTACCTGCTTTTTTAAGGTCTGGACAGAGAAAGCCAAAGGAGGAGCAGCTAGTAATTCAGCTGAAGCAAAAAAGCGGAAGCGCCCAGCAGATGCAAAGAACGAGGGGAAAGAGAAACTAGAAGAAAAATCAAAGGAGGACTCCAGTTTGCCCAAAAAACGGAAGCCGTTAGATCCATCTACAAATGTCAGATTGTCAGCCTTTGCATTCAAGCAGAGCTAAATCAAAATTGGTACCTTTCCACTGTTTTCTTGTCTCAAGACATTAGTTTCTCGTGTATTGAGAAATTTGCCAACATACTCGAAGTGCACTTGCAAAAAGAGTGAGTGTTTTGCCCTAAACATTCCTTTACAAAGTGGAATGATGGAAATGATGCAGCATCCCTGAGAGCCTTGATGATAAGTTTTTATATAAAGTGTGTATAGTCGACACAAATAGTGATAATTCACTGATTATTTTCTAGATATAGGGCCAGATTCTATGATGCCGCATGGCCTTTGTCTGCCATACCACTCATGATATTTGATCCTAAAGCCAGATAGTTAGCCCATGGAGAATCGGCAAAGCATAAGGATGATCTCATGGTGTTGTAGAGCCAAAGTAGAGGCTCTTATGTCACTTACTCTTATCCTGTCAGTGTAGCAAGGAGAAGAAGCTATGGGGGGAGAGAAAGATGCCCCTGTACCATACTGATCTTTGGCTGCAGTTTTAACTCCTTGTGGTGATTTCCAGCCGTTGAGCTCCAGCTGCCTAATTTAGTACTGAGGGTCCAGCCATGTACCGAAGCTGTACTGGGAACAGTGGGTGTACAGAGGAGAGGTTTAAGCCATCTTGTGTGTACATGTGTATGCTCCTCCCCTGACCTACAAAAGAGCTCTACCCCAGGATTTGGTCACTCTTAACTTTTGAATTTGTGGGTTTTGTATGTAATATTTGTTTAAAATAAAATGTGAACATTTCTGTGTTTAGGCTGGTGGAAGTCTCCTTTTCAATTTTTGCATGTTGCACTCGGAAGTAGACTTGCACCCAGGGCCGGCGCCAGGCACCAACAAAGGAAGCAGGTGCTTGGGGCGGCCAAGGGAAAGGGGCAGCACATCCGGGTCTTTGGCGGCGGGTTCCTCAGTCCCACTCTGAGCAAAGGTCCCGCCACCAAAGAAGCAATTGCCCCCTGGGGCAGCAAAAAAGCTGGAGCCGGCCCTGCTTGCACCTCATAGTCAGAAGCCAGTTATATACACCATTCTTGCAGATGGATAAAATGCAGTGTCTGATGACTGGAAGTCAAGCACACATTGATTTTGATTTCAGATCTAGGAGTAACAGCTTTAGCTTTTCACTGTAGCAAGTCAAATTTGAAGGACTTCAGTCATTTAGTTTTTTTTCCTCTTGGAATTCTACTGAGATGTTAAGCTGCTGCCCATTCAGTAAGAATCTTGAGTTTTTAGTGTTCAAATCAGTTAGAAGCAAGACAGAAAACTGAGCTTCTGCAAAAAACCCTTAAATCCTAAAGAATTTAAATTTCAGAGGTTAGTGATAAAGTGAGAATTTTTGTTCATTTTAACATTCTTCATTTTGAAAAGCTTGACCTTGAGATTTCAGTGTATCACAGCATTTTTCATTATATGTGGAAAAGTGGAGGTGATCGTGGCAGCTATTGGTGTTAAGAGTAAGCAATGGAAGAAAATCTGAAGATATATTAACCCAGTTAATATAAAGCTTAAATAATAATCTAATTGTATTTGATAAATACAGACTTTTTTTCATACTGTTTTTACTCTTTCATGCTTTTAACCAAATGACATATACATAAGGCACTGGACACATCAATAAGTAAAAAGAGAGAAAACCGATTAAGCCATTCTGGGATCAATATGCAAATGCTGCTATTTTAGAAAATACTGACTGAATTCCTAAGACTTACATGGTACATTTTATATGTATATACTATAAAACACTGAGGCATACACCTATCTCACATGTCTGGTCCTGGCAGCATGACAAGTGCAGGAGGCTGGAGCCTTCAATGACCTCACTCCACACTGCATCTCCAACCATGGTCTGTCCTCAGGGTCTGTCTACCTTGCAGTCGCAGGGTGTGAGTGCAGCACACGTAGATATACGTGAGCTAGCTTTAATCTAGCTAGCTCGAGTACCGAAGCAGTGACACTGTGGCAGTGCAGGCTTCAACACAGGCTAGCCCTGCAAGTAATTACCCAGGGTTTGTGGTGGGCTTCTCCAGTCTGTACTGAAGCACATGCTGCTGCTGCTTTACTACTACCACGACTCGAGCTAGCTCCATCTAAGCTAGCTTGGGTATGTCTAGTTAAGCTGCAATCAGCCCCTATGATTGCAATATAGACACCCTCAGTCTGCTTCTCTAGCACAATCTATGTACTGTTATTCTAGAAGGCGTTTATGGCTGCAAATAAGCGTGTCTTTGACCTGTTGGCAGTCATAGACCTTGTGCTAGCCACCCTTCATTCGGGTTAAATGGAAGAAATAATTGAGCTCCCTGGTGGAGTGAGATAGCTAAAACAGTAGAAACAACGGTCCAAGGTACTAGATCTCATGGGAAGGGAGAATAAGAGGGATTTCCCTGGGACTGATAGCAAATGCTGGGGCATTGATCTGGAGTCATATGCAGAAAGCCAGAGCGGCATTTGTGAACATGGCCCTGAGAGAGAGCTCCTTGGGGCACAGGACACAGTTGCAAACTTTCACACGGTAAATAAGCACCCCGACTTTCACAATAAGCCAAAAATCAAGCTAATTCCATTTCAAAACAAGCCAATCCCTAAGAACTCCAACACTC